TGCATGCATCCATTCACAAAGACAACAAAATCTCGTACTAGAAAAAAAGATTTAATATGTGAATGGAAAAACACAACAGGCACTATTTATAGCACAGCTATTAAATTTGGATCAGTGTTGATTTGAAACCTATTGATTTGGTGTGTGGATTGATTTGGATAAGATAAAAAATTAAAATGAGCAAAAACTTGATTGATCCTCTGGATTGACTTGTAATTGAGGCAAAATGATAAAATCCGGTTAAGATCGAGTTTTTTTTTCAAATTTTTTTCTTATAACTAAAGACCCATCATATATATATATATATATAAAAGTTGGTTATTAATTTTTTTTAAAAGTTTATTATATAAAATTATAAGAATATTTTATTTTTTTAATATGAGATTTGAAATCTTTTAATATAATACTCTATATTCATAAGAAAAAAAAAGTTACATATTTTTTTAATATGAAATAAAAAAATCTTTTTATTTTAAATACTTCAACTTAAAAAAAAATTATTAATATAATATTTTTTTAACGTGGAATAAAATTTTTTTTAAATAATATTTTAAATTTTATTATTTATAATATGTATAATTTATATTTATATAAATTGTTTTTAATTATAATATGTATAATTTATATTTATATAAAATTTTTTTAAATTTTTTTTATATAAAATATTAAAACTTTAAATATATATTTTTTGAAATCCAAGATCTGCTTCTTAACGGGATCACCTCATGATTGGGTAAGATAACTATGGTTTATATTGCTGTAAAGACAAACCCTTGTACCTAAAAGGTTCGTGGCTAGCAATCAAACGCAATGTAAGATGACTGTTGAACGTGCGGCTCTCCCTTTCCATCTGTCCATGGCTCGCATTGTCAAGAAGCTTGCCCTGAGACAAGGTGTGTAAAGCCAAGAAATGCATTAAACTAATTTTAAAAAGCAAACTATGCATGTGGCTGCTAGGCTTTTCTTGCCCCCAGTTGCACCGGGACGCCCTTCTCCGAAGTTGAGGTCGCTTTCCATTCAATCATGGCTCTCGAAGGGGACAAATCCATTGTATAGCTAGCATTTTAAAAGATGTTGTTCTAGCTCATGAATCATAATTTCACTCTAGGTTTGATCTTCAAACTCTCGACACTAAAATCAAGGTTGTCACAAAAGATGATGGATTCTCACTTGGATTCTGATTTCTGCAGGCAAGGTCAAGCTTGCAGCTCAACCTTCCAGGGGAAATGATTCTTCCAATAAGCCATATTCGTTATTATTCATAAATTGAAGATTGAGTAATTTCTGATAGTTTTAGTCAATACTATCCATAATTTTAGATGCAGGAAAGCGCCTTTTCAATTCAATCACAAGAATCAATACCCCCTTACATCCACACCCAAAAAAGGAGAAAACTTGAAAAATATACCATTTTGTGAGCTGGTATCTCTATTTAACTCATGAATTACTGCATTTTATGATTCTATTTGATATTGCGGTCCATTTGTAATTTTTAAAATTCTTAATTTTTTAATTTCAAATTGCTTTTTTTGATAATTTTAGATTATAAAAAAATTATTTTGATAAAATTCTAAGTAAAAAATATTTTGAAAAATAATATTTACCACGTACAAGCTCAAAATAACTATTTATCCTGATCTTTTGGTGCAATTAACAAGCAGATCAAAGAAACAAAAAGACAGGAAATGCAATTCACAATTAGTAATATTTCTTGACATTAGTGTAGAGTGCGGAACAAAAGTTACATGAACACTTTAGAAACATAAAAATTGGAACTTCTAATGCTGCCTAACACTACCCTTTATCTACAGCCATTT